AACCTTAAAAGAGAAATCTTGACATTTGTGACAATGTGGATAAACCAGAGGATATTATGAAAGTGAAATAAGTCAGGCACAGAAAGACAAATATCATATGACCTCACTTATATTTGGAATCTAAAAAAGTTGAACTCACAGAAACAGTAGGAGTGGTGGGACCAGGTGTGGTGGCTCATGCCTGGTAATCCTAGCACTCTGGGAGGCCAAGGCAGGTGGATTGCCCTGAGCTCACAGATTCGAGATCAGCCTAAGCAAGAGTGAAACCCCCATCTCTAAAAATATCCAGCACCTGTAGCCCAGGCTACTTGGGAGGTTGAGGCAAGAGAATCACTTGAGCCCAAGAGTTTGAGGTTGCTGTGAGCTATGACACCATGGCACTCTACCAAGGGTGACAAAGTGAGAGTTTGTCTCAAAAAAAAAAAAAAGAAAGAAAAGAAAAGAAACAAAGTAGAGCGATAGTTATTTGGGGGAGTAAGGGGCATTGGAAAGCTGTTGGTAAAAGGATACAAAATTTTAATTAGAAGGAATAGGTTTGAGAGATGTGTGGTACAACATGATGATGATAGTTAATAACAATGTATTATATTTATCTATCCAATATTAGTGACTGAGGCAAAAATCTTAATAGAGGAAGGTTTATTAAGTCAAAGCTGAGGATGTGTTCCCCTGGCACATAAACCACAGGCAAAACTGACTGTCTTTCTGAGGGGGAATTTAGAAGTTTCAGCATTTAAAAGCATATAGAAAAAAGGGTGTGTGTGAGACAAAATGGTTACATTCTGGTGAGACCAAGGAAAATCTACATTTTAGGTAACATAAGGACAATGTTCAAAGAGAAAAAAGGAGTGGCGGAAGCATCAATAATGTAGCTGTCCCAGGGTAGGAGGAAGAATGTCTGATCTTGACTTGTCTCTGTTCTGTCCCTGTAAGATAAACTTAAAATTCATTATTAGTGTGAAATCAGAACCGACCTTAGTTTGAAGAGTTAGGCATAGCCTGCAGACTTAAAGCTACAATTTGCATGTCCTTGACTGGAAGTCAGCAAGGAATTTACTTAATGAATGATAGGTAGGGCCAATTCTTCACAGGTGCCTGAGGCCTTTACCTTACCTTTTGCATGAGGAATTGGGGGTGGGGGCAACCCTAAGATTTTTATTTTGTTTTCACATATTCTTGAAAATTGCTAGGAGAATAAATGTTAAGGTCTGTATCATAAAAAATGTTAAGTATATGAAGTAATACAAATGTCAGTTAGGGCTCAACACCCATAGCACAGTGGATATGGCACCAGCCACATACACTGAAGGTGGTAGGTTCAAACCTGGCCCAGGCCAGCTAAAACAACAGCTGAACAACTGCAACAAAAAAATAGCCAGGCATCGTGGCCAGCACCTGCAGTCCCAGCTACTTGCAAGGCTGAGGCAAGAGAATGGTTTAAGCCCAAGAGTTTAAGGTTGCTGTGAACTGTGACGTCACAGTGCTCTACTGAGGTTGACATAGTGAGACTCTGTCTCAAAAAAAAAAAACAAAAAAAGAAGGGCTCAGCGCCCATAGCACAGTGGTTTGGTGCCAGCCACACACACGGAAGGTGGCAGGTTTGAACCCAGCCTGGGCCAGTTAAATAACAATGACAACTACAACAAAAAAATATAGCCTGGTGTTGTGGCAGGCGCTTGAGGTTCTATCTCCAAAAAAAAAAGTCAATTAGCTCAATTTAGCCATTTCAGAATGAATACATATATCAAAATAACATATTAAACACAATGAATACTTTTTGTCAATTTTAAAAATAATGAAAATATAGGCCATATCCATTCATTCAACATAAAATGAACATCCGTTAAGTCAGTGTCAGAGGCATGGGGATCTGGCAGAACAAATTAAAATGGACTATTAAGGCCAGGTTTGGTGGCTCATGCCTGTAATCCCTGCACTCTGGGAAGCTGAGGTGGGCAAATCACGTGAGCTCATGAGTTAGAGACCAGTCTGAGCTATAGCAAGACTGTCTCTAAAAACAGCCAGGCATCTTGGCAAGTGCGTATAATTCCAGCTACTTTGAGGGAGGGCAAAAGAATTGCTTGAGCCCAGGAGTCTGAGTTTGCTATGAACTATGATGCCATGGCACTCTACCACAGGCCAACAAGTGAGGCTCTATCTCAAAAAAAGAAAGAAAAAGAAAAGAAAAAAGAGAGTGGACTATTAGAGAGTATAGAGTAGAAAAAGTCCATGAAGGAAGGAATAGGGTTTGGGAATAGGGAAGGAATAGTGTGAAAGCTTTTAACTTTCAAGGAAACATAGAAATAACAGAGGACCTGAATTCCTGTGGTATTATAATGTAGTTTGTTATATACACACAAATGCAATTTACATATATATAAGATTCTTTGTAAATTGACATCTCTCTTTTATATGTATTATAATCTGATTTGGTCAATTGAATATTTGACCTAATTATAGAATATTATATCTAATAAATAGGCTTGCTAAGTTTCTTCTTGTTCAATTTATCTTTTATGTTCTCTTTTTTTAGCAACCACAGAATACAAGGAAAAACATTTTCAAATGAGAGAATTTGGAGCATCTCAGTTTCCTAACTCTGAAAATGGTAAGAAATTATCATTTCACTAAATATAAGAATAATCTGTTATTTAAAATTCTTCAGTTTTTATTTATCATTTATTTCTTTAACATTAGAAACTGGATAGGTCTATACATAGGGATATAATCCTATACTTTTGTAGCATATCACAATGGAAATTAAATAATTCTTTGTTTTGTAGGTTTGGGCCTGATAAGAATGTATTTATATAACTGTGAGGATAGCTAGGACTGGATCTATTTTACTGTCTCATCTACCTCTACCATCCAACAGTGCAGGCATTCAGTAAATATTTGGGGTTTTTTGTTTGTTTGTTTGTTTTTAGACAGAGTCTCACTATGTTGCCCTGGGTAGAGTGCCATGGCATCACAACTCACAGCTCTTGGTCTTAAGTGATTCTCTTAGCCTCCCAAGTAGCTGGGACTACAGGCACTGGCCACAACACCCAGCTATTTTTTGGTTGCAGTTGTCATTATGTTTTAGCAGACCCAGGCTGGGCTCCAACCCGCCAGCCCCAGTATATGTGGCTGTCACCCTAGCCACTGAGCTATAGGCACAGAGTCTCAGTAAGTATTTGTTGAATGAATGAGTACAATTTGTGTATCCAGTGTCATGAGATACTAATTAAAAATATTAAATGTCATTCAGTGGTAAAGAAACTAAAATCATTATTTAATAACAAAAGTATGATCTTAACATTCCAGTTTCCTTATTTCTGAGATGAGGTGTCAAAATTAAAACAGGCTGGGTACGGTGGCTCATACCTGTAATCCTAGCACTCACTGTGAGAGGCCAGGGCAAGAGAATCCATTTGCGCTCAGGAGTTTGAGACCAGCCTAAGGAAGAACAGAGACTCTTCACCTCTACTAAAGATAGACAATGTATCTAGGTCCTAGCTAATTGGAGGCTGAGGCCAGAGGATTCTTTGAACCCAGGAGTTGAGGTTACTATAAGGTAGGCTGAAGCCATGGCACTCTAGCTTGGGCAACAGAGTGAGACTGTGTCAAAAAAAACCCCAAAAAACAAAAAAAAAGAAGAAGAAAAAGAAGTGAGATTCCAGCCCCACCCTGCCCCATTTTTTAAAAAAAGAAAGGTAAACTAAGCATGTATTAAGGTGTGCACCTATAGTCCCAGCTACTCAGGAGCCTGAGGGAGGGGATTTCAGGTTGCAGTGAGCTATTATGAGGCTACTGCTTTCCAGCCTAGGTGACAGAGTTAAGACCCTGCCTCAAAACAAACAAAAAAGCCAAAAACTAAACCAACTTTAATGTACTTTCTAAGCATTAAATAACTACCTTGAATATCCCATGCAATTATGTTGCAAATACTTTCTCCTTGTCAGTTGTTTTTTGACTTTGTATGTTTCTTTTAAAATTAAAAAAATAATTTTAGTAAAAGTTTTCAAAATTTTATTTTATCTTTTATTGTGAATTTTAGCCATAGTCAGGAAGCTTTTCTCAAACTCAGGTTATAGAGAAATTCTCTTATCATTTTTTTTCCAGTATTTTTCTAGTTTCATTTTTCTATTACATTAGCTGTCCAGTTCATTTGGAGTTTATTCATGTGTATGGTGTCGGTACTTTAAAATATTAACAAATTATTCATTACTAATCTGGGCACAGTAGCTCGGCAGTTTAGCGTACTGGCCCTGCACACCAAGGGTGGCGAGTTTGAACCTCACCTGGGCCTAATTAACAAAAATTAAAAAATAAATAAAGTACCATCTTTGTCCCAGTAATTTGAGATAACATTATATCATATGCTAGATTTCTATAAGTATTTGAGTGTTATTTCTGGACTTTTAAGGGCTATGATTTTTCCTCTGTTCATTGTTATTTAAGTACTCCATTGTCAAAAGATAATTACAACAAATTTAAAGATTTTTTTTTTTTGAGACAGAATCTCACTCTGTTATCTGAGGTAGAGTGCTGTGGCTTCATAGTTAACAGCAACCTCAAATTCTTGGCTCAAGAGATCCTCTAACCCAGTGGTTCTCAACCTGTGGGTCGTGACCCACAGGAACTGTGTTAAATGACCGCGGCATTGGGAAGGATGAGAACCACTGCTCTAGCCTCTCAGCCTACTGAGTAGCTAGGACTATAGGCATGCACCACCATGCCCAGCTAGTTTTTCTATTTTAGTAGAGACAGGGTCTCAACTGTTGCTTAGGCTGGGCTTCAACTTCTGAGCTCAAGCGATCCACCTGCCTCAGCCTCCCAGAGTGCCCACCACAATGGCCAACTGTTTTTTCTATTTTTATTAGAGAAGGGGTCTTGCTCATACTGGTCTTGCTGCTCTCAAACTCCTGAGCTCAGGTGATCCACCACCTCAGTCTCCCAGAGTGCTAGGATTATAGACATCAGCCATCGTGCCCAGCCAAATTTAAAGATCTTAACTGGTGCTTCCTCCAGCAGCACATATACTAAAATTGGAACGATTCAGAGCAGATTAGCATGTCCCCTGTGCAAGGATGACACAAAAGTTTATGATGCATTCCATATTTTAAAAAATAAACTAAAATTTTAACTGGCTTTTATTTGCAATTCTAGACTCTAAAAAGAGTATTTTGATGAGATGAGCAGAGGCAGTTGATTTTTTAGACAGAAAAGGGCTGAGGAAACAGGAAACAAAAAGTGGATTGGTCATTGCAAAGTTACTTTTCTTGTAAAGGTTATAACAGAAATTTCCTTATGCCAACTAGGACTAGCCTGCTTGGATATTTTGGCTATAATCTCTTGCTCTTCTGATTTCTTGAAAGGTCAGATAAACAACTTACTTTTGGTTTAGTAATTCAAGAACTTTAGCATGAATAATTCCATTTTGGTCTAGTGCAGGAGCTCAGTCCAAACCAACAGTCTCCTATAAATTTTATTTAACACCATGGATTGTAATACATAATTTTTTAAAATTATTTTTCAGAAAGTATTTCCCCTTTCAACCCAGAGTTGTTTAACAGATGTTTTTTCAACTTATAGGTGGAAGAACCTTTTTGGGTTTAGTTTTTTTTTTTAATTGCTTTTTATTGCATTATTATCAGTGCATGTCTGTAATATTTGGGGTTTTTTTTGAGACAGAGCCTCAAGATGTCACCCTGGGTAGAGTGCTGTAGCATCATGGCTCACAGCAACCTCCCAACTCCTGGGCTTAAGTGATTCTCTTGCCTCAGCCTCCCAAGTAGCTGGGACTACAGGCACCCTCCATAACGCCTGGCTATTTTTTGGTTGTAGTTGTCATTGTTGTTTAACAGGCCCAGGCTGGATTCGAACCCGCCATCTCTGGTGTATGTGGCTGTCACCTTAGCCACGTGAGCTATAGGCTTTTTTTTTGAGAAGAGTCTCACTTTGTCACCTCAGTAGAGTGCTATGGTGTCACAGCTCACAGCAACCTCCAACTCCTGGGTTTAGGCGATTCTCCTGCCTCAGCCTCCCGAGTAGCTAGGACCATAGGCGCCCGCCACAATGCCCAGCCATTTTTTGTTGAAGTTTGGCCAGGGCTGGGTTTGAACCTGCTACCCTCTGTATATGGGGACAGTGCCACCCTCTCTGTAATATTTCTGCTTCAAGAATGTACTGATTTTTGTATGTCTTAGTATAATCAATCTGTGAATTTTGAACATATGCTTGAGAAGGTGGTTTGTTTCTATTTATTGTAGTTTGTGTATGTCTAAAATACTACCTAATTGATTATGCTGTTTAGATCTCTTATATCTTTACCTATTTTTCACCTTCTTGGTCTATTTTTTTATTCTGAGCAGCATGTTAAAGTCTCTTATTATTTCTACTTCTTTTGCATCACCTGTGTTTTCTGTCTTATATAGGTGGTAATTTAATTATTTCATATATTGAGATTTATAACTGTGGTATCTTCATCATGAAATATAACCATTTTGATCTAAATCCTGCCTCATTAGAAATATATATATTTTTTCTTTTTTTGAGTCGGAGCCTCAAGCTATCCCCCTGGGTAGACTGCCATGGCATCACAGCTTACAGCAACCTCCAACTCCTGGGCTCAAGCGAGTCTCCTGCCTCCGCCTCCCAAGTAGCTGGGACTATAGGTGCCTGCCACAACGCCCGGCCATTTTTTGGTTGCAGCCATCATTGTTGTTTGGTGGGCCCGGGCTGGGGATTCGAACCCGCCACCCTAGGTGTATTGGCTGGAGCCTTAGCTGCCTGAGCCACAGGCGCTGAGCCTAGAAATATTTTTCACATAAACATCCAATCAATTTAGTTCATTAAAAGTTATGTAGCTGGGCACGGTGGCTTACACCTGTAATCCCAGCACTTTGGGAAGCTGAGGCAGGAGGATTGCTTGAGCTCAGGAGTTCGAGGCTTGTCTGAGCGAGAGTGAGACCCTAACTCATGAAACAAAATGAAAACCCCAGCTGGGCACCTCGGCAAGCGCCTGTAATACAGTGGCTTTGGAGGCTGAGGCAACAGGATGCCCACAGCCCAAGTCTGAGATTGCAGTGAGCTACGATGCCACTGTACTCTGCTCAGGGCATAGGGTAGAACTCTGTCTTGACAAAAAAAAAAGTTATGTCAATAACAGTATGAGAACAATTAAACAACTTTCATTTGTCTTATGTACTATTCTTCCTTCCTCAAAAAGAAAAAAGCCTTTCTGTTTTCCTTTGTACTCAACAGTTGCAAAAGATCTATCTGTGGATTCACTGGAAGGAGAAGATTTTGAGAAAGAATTCTCGTTTCTGCACAGCCTCCTAAGTCCTGGTTCTTCAAGTACTGGTGAATTTACCCCTGAATGCCAGACTGCCTTTGGGAGCCCCATTGCCAGTCTCACGTCCCAGGAGCCTTCTATGGGATCTGAGCCTCTTGCTCATTCCTCTAGATTTCTTCCTTCACAGCTCTTTGACCTTGGCCTTCATGCCACTGGAGCTTTCAATAGTAAGTGTCTTTGAAACATTTGGACACATGTGCCTTATTTTAACTATGTAAAACAGTTAACCTCAGTACTACTAGGTAAAATCCTGTAGACATACTAATCAATTGGAAAAATATCAAATATAATCACCACTGGAATCTGTCAATGAATCAAATAAGGGCTGCTTCCCCGCCTCCTCCACTAAACCCCATTTTTTGTCATTTTCTTTTTCTTTTCTTTGTCTTTTTTGTCTTTCTCAGGTGTCTGATTTGAAACACTAATCACTTCTACTTAGGTCAGGTGATGCTCTTTGTCCTATCAAGCAAAACTTGGTGTGTTCTCTTCCTGTGGGTTCAGAGTTGACAAGTGCTCTGGAGACTGGTTCCAGGGTAGCCTTCCAGTAGAAGTGGAAGACTATGGGAGAAAACCAGGGCAGGGATTTTCCTGAAGAGTCACCTGTTTTGTTAATGTCAAAGAGTCTCTAGTCACCTGCTGCTCCATCATCTTGTGTCCAATTCTGCACATTAGGGTTCATTTTTGCTCCTCATATCCCATATGAAGTGGTCCTGTCAGTTCTTTCTTTCTTTTTTTTTTTTTTTTTT